TGGGTCAGCTGCTGATCCTGGGTCAGCTGCTGATCCTGGGTCAGCTGGTCCTCACCTTGTTGGCCAGTTTCTTGTTCAGCTCCTCGGATATGGCCTCGTTCAGCTGCCTGCCGAAGGTCCACGGAGGGATCCGAACAGTGTCGACCATGTCCACCAACACGAACATGACGATTCATTCACTCTCTCTCAAACACCCCGACGAGACAAGGAGGAGCAAGTTCACCTGCGCAGCATTTTGACTCTTCAAAATAACCACAGCGGAGAAATACACGCAGGAGGAGTCACAGTTCAGTTGACACAACTAAACTTTCTGCAGCCTCACGTGAATGAAGCATCCGTGATGTTTCCGCGTGCTCTTCTTCTTTAGGTTTTAATGTCGGACGTCTACTACTACTCGTCACTGCTGCCACCTGCTGGAGGACACTGGTCTCTGCAGTACATCAAACAAGCAACTCTGGATTTCACGGTGTTTTACTTTATTGTGTTCTTCTATCTCCTACTGTAAGTTATTACATCCCCCAAAGTCCCTGACAGATAATTATCTTGAATCCTAAACAACACATTCTTCATATTTCTATTATTTATCATACATGTTATCATCATACTTTTAATATTTCATTTTATGCCTATGTTTATTAAATGTTTTAATGTTTAATGGTTATTGTTGCACCAGGGGTCTGAGAGTACCGGTAATGTAATTTCAATCCTGTGTATGTCCTGTACATATTGCAGTTTTGACAATAAAGTTGACTTTGACTTTTTGAACACTCCTAAAAAAAAAACTTCCTGTTTATTATATAACATATAGCTACACTTTCAGTCTCAAAAGCTTTTCCATCGTGCAGTTCCTTCCAGTTTCATGATATTGCTCTTTAGGATCGATTGTTGGAAATGTGAGGCATTAAACCTATAAATGACAAACAAAAATAAAAGTGTTCAGCAAGTGGACGATGAACGTTTGTAACGAAATAATCACAAAGGGAACAAAACCCCACAATTTTAATCTACATAATCATTTTAACTTTACAGTAAAATGCACTAGCCTTTCTCAAGATTAATGGACTTCTCTTTAGAAAAGTTTTAAAATAAAGAAAAAGAGCAAAGTAACAGTAAAGTGAAAAGATAAATATCTACACAAAGAGAAAAGTTTCTACGTCACAATGAATTTATATTTATTTTGCAGCAGTCCCAGCTGAATGCATGCAGCTCAAAAACTGTACAGACATTATTAACTTATTTGAATAAGACGGTTTTAAACTGAAACAGGCCTCTCTTGTAAATGAGTCCTCGAATCTCAACGGGAACTAACCTGTATAAATAAAGGTTGAATGAATGTTTCTTTGTGAATATTAGACTCTTGTTAAAGATTTTTACTCATTTCAGGAGAAATTAGAATTTGTATATGAAAATTAAACACACACAGCAGGTTAGATTTTGTGAAATATTTTATTTGTTATTATCAATTTAGCTTAGCGGGCTATAAAACAGCAGGCTACTTTTACAAATTTTTAACAACAGATTAGCAGTCATCACTGTGAAATACCCTAATTTCATTTTCTGCAGATGAAGAAATGAAGAAATGACTTCAATGTGCAGAGGGCAAATTAAAAAGTAGCGATGAATGTGTAATAAAACAAACAGTGATGATTTTAAACTTTCACATCAAAAATGTTCACAGGATGTAACTCAGCTTTTACAAAACATACCATTATTTCCCAATTCAAATCCACCAAACAACAAAATTCCTTACATTTTTTACCCACAATGCATGTCTCTGTTACGAGAAGCCACACAAGACAACAGGCAGCCTACAGTATGTACCTCTATTTATATGTGCTATAACTTTAATTTTTAGAGATGTATATATAATCTAACCCTATGTACACTCCTCTGAACAAAATGCAGCTGCACATGGCATCCTTTAATAACAAATCCTACATCAGTAACGTCGCCGCTCCGTTCAGGAACTTCTGACACAACAGAACAACATCGAGGAGAATTTACAGACTATCTGAAAAATATGAATAATTTATTAAAAGAGGAACAACTGGCCCTCAAAGAACATCAGCAATGAGCTTTGAAAGAGATTTTTGGAAAGAGGGATTCTAGAGCAGGACTGTAAATAACGAACATCTTACCTGTTGAACCTCAAACTTGGATCAGTGTAGAGAAAGCGTTGAAGTTGAAAAGACGAACTAGGACAAATGTAGCGAGCTCAGAGTTGACCGTTGTGTTAAAACTCCACTAACATTTCATAGCGGTTCACAGAAACCCCATTTCAGAACTCTTTACAGCTCATAAATTTCCACATTACTGTCATTTACTGTACATGAAACTACTTGAAAGAGCAAATACCAGCAGCTAGCTTTAGCACTAGCGATGCAACGTTAAAGCAATTTCTGCAGGAACGTTGTAATATTTCTGAGAGATTGCCAAACTGATAGCAATGCAAGGTTTAAATGAGAGTATTTGCAAGAACTGCTATACAATTTTAAAGATGAAAAGTTGTTTTAAGTCGACAGCAATCAACTTTGGGCTTAGGCTTGCGCTAACAAGCTGCTAAGCGTTTGTTATTCTGGTCAGAATTAAACTATTGCTCCAAACTGAGGATGTACATAGACCTACCGGTATCTGCAGCAAGTAAGATATTAATTGCATATAATTTCCACAGAGCTTCACTTCCAAAACAGTCTGAATAAACTTTTCAAACCCATAAAATCAGATAATCTCACTGAATGGGTGCAACACAGTCCAGCAACGGTTGGCAATAAGGGAAACTAAAACAAAGTCTGATCCGTGAAGCTTCACTGGATTTAAACATCAGATATTCAACAAACACAGCTGCTTCTCGTACAGTGGCAATGCTATATTCAGCAGTCACGTGCTTTTATTTTACATTAATTTCAAATTACAAAATAAAACAGCTCAATGAAGCTTTGCCGTCCAGCAGAAGTATCAGTCTTAGTGGACTGGATGAGCTACAACCAGAAGGACGGATGTTCAATAACAGAAACAATCGTGCGCCTCGTGTTGGTCAACAGGTGGAGAAAAACAAACAGTTATTAGATTGGTTCTGGTTTATGTTCAGGAGCGCTCAGCGTGTGTGGAGGACAGACGGGGATTTAGCAACACTTCCTACATTAAATAAACAATCCTGCTAGTTTGGCTCAAATTCCTTGTCTGTAAAGAAATTAGTGAAAAATTTTTCACGCACGTGAGGCAGCTCTAGTTTAGAGTGGCACAAATCAATCAGTGACTGCTGTTCACATCAGTAATGAAGTCAAACAGCAGCAAAGTCCAGTTTCTCTTCAAACTTCACGGATTGAGACAACAAAATAAAAGTACACTAACAAGTTGAAGTCATCTTATGCAGCCATTGTTCTACTGAGACAAACACTAACAAAGAAAAATAAGTACCTTGGAGTAAATTCAACAGTTAAAGATATTAAAGCTTCTTTAAATATGTTAAATTCTCTTTCTCACTTTATTCTTTCCAAGTCTAATTCGATTCCACCAGGAACAATCATTGCTGAGAGTGTGAAGTAGCTGTTACTGGATTGTTTTATTTTAATCCATTATTTTAGAGAAGCAGAAGTGATACCAGTTTTACTAATCAAATACAAAATGTGAACTCAAAAGAAAGTCCGATTATAAACTGAAGCCACGTTTCAATTTCTTTGTGTCCTAATATAACTGACTTTTGATTTTAGGCTCCATGTTAATTAGGCTGTATTATTTTCATGTCCAATTTTAAATAAACTTAATTATTAAGATTCAGCTTCATTATGTTTTGTTATTCTTACGTGTTGTTTTAAATGCATTTGTGCAAATCTGCGTGTGAACTGGGAGGGGTTCACAGTAATCCTGTTTCTATACTGTATTTTAGTGCTAACGTGTCTTTATGTGCGCTTCCATCTGTACAGCGACTTTGTTTGTCTGACAGAATGACTACATGAGCCTAAATCAAGTCTGGTTACCCTCCCTCGATCTCACTTTGTGAAGCCCATCTCCTGGTCTGTATCTCTCCCCCTTCTGAGCCCGAGGAAATGGCCTCCACACACACTGCCACCTTCCTCTTCATCATTACTGCAGCTCCTTCATCCTGTTGAGGGCGGAGCCGGCCTTGAACCACTCGATCTGCGTCTCGTTGAAGGTGTGGTTCAGCGAGATGGACTCCTGGCTTCCGTCGCAGTGTTTGATCACCGCTGTCAGCGGCTGGTCGAGGCCGAAAAAATGATGTCAGCAAGGAAAAGACAACAATCTAGATTAATGTACATGTGTTTGTGAAGGGGGTCCTCACCTTGCCGGGGGCTAAGGATTTCAGGCCGGTAATTGAAATCTTATCATCTGGGAGAATTTTGTCGTAATCACTGGGGTCTGCGAAGGTCAGCGGCAGCAGGCCCTGCTTCTTCAGATTAGTCTCTGTATGAAAAGACATGATTAAACTTCTAACAGGTACTCAAAGAGTGTGGGGAGAAAATAACACCATCCATGTAAAAACAATTAATTATGTGAACACTTTGTAATAAGTAGAGTTAATATGGAAAGAGTGGGGACTAAAGAAGAAAACAAATAAAAGTTATGTTACTAAAGTTTTGTCATTTATTGTAAAAGTCTAGTTTTAGGCTGAATCCATGTTAAATCAAACCTGCGTGAGCTACAAGTTGAAAGTCAACCCCTTAAAAGTTTAATCATCCGAACTATTTTGTTCTTTCGGGTGGAATTTTTGTTATCGCCAAAAACTCGACTTTTCAGGAAATTTAAAAGAAACAAACATATTTTTAAAGGTATCAATAACGAATCAGGTTTTATTTTAATTATCTGTTTTGGTTTTCTTAAAAACAAGTTTAAACAATTAATGAAACTGCTGTTTTTGTCTCATTTCACTGTCGTGATAAACATTTAAACACAAGAGCAACATTTTTAAACAGGCTTCTAAACATTTACCGTTTAGAGAATATATTTTTATTTCCATTTACTGGTCCAGTCTTTAGTGTCTGGACCAGTAAATGGTTAAAACAAATGATTATTTTGCAGGAGGACGATCCAATAAAAGAAGGTTCTTGTTACCTTGTTATCATCAGAAACAAGTTTGTAAGAAAGTCACTGACCTGTAGGACTCCAGTAACACTCGAATATCTCTAAATGGTAAAAGACTGATATTTCCCCGTTTATATTTTCTGTAAGCCAATTCACCGACCGTGGATTCTGGCAAAGCTCTTGACGATGATGGCTCTTCCTCCCAGGTGGCGTGGCTCCAGAGCAGCGTGCTCTCGACTGGATCCTTCACCGTAGTTCTCGTCTCCTACCACCACCCAGTTCACGCCGTTGCCCTGGTTTTTAAAATAAAAAAAGAAGAACAACATTTTAAGCTCCTCCTCCCACACTAAAACCTCTGATGGATACAATTCAAGCAGAAAGTGTGAAGTTTAAACACCTGCGTTCATGTGAAAACTAGTTGCTACACGAATGTGGGAGTCACCCAGTGTTAGGAATAAAACGGTCACCTTGTAGAAACGGGCCACATCTGGGACACCTCCGTACTCCCCCGTCAGGAGGTTCTTCACCTTGTTGACGGCGTTGTTCTCGATGTTGACGGCGCCGATCAGCAGGTTGTTGGAGATGTTGTCCAGGTGACCACGGAATTTCAGCCAGGGCCCGGCGGCACTGATGTGGTCAGTGGTGCATTTTCCCTTCACCTAGAGAGCAGGAGGAGTGGAGGGTGGTCAGATGGGATAATGCAACTGTAGAAACTTAAAACGTTTCATCGTGTTTATCCTTAAATATGTTCTGTGTCGCATCTGAAGAGTGAGTGTGCTGACAGTGCACTTATGGCTGTGAAAAAGCAAAAATAATTTTGAAGTTCAGATCTGGTGAAAATGGGTTTCTGTGAAAAGGTTATGAACATTTAATATCTTACCTGCTGTAGATAACGCTTAGAATGACCTCAGTTTGGAAAATTAGTTTGTGTTTTATTGTGACGGCTAGTCCGTCATTATAATCAAATTAAATCAAACAGCTAGTCCGAGCAGAAGGTTTGGTAAATTATCTTGAGTGGATCAGAAGTTATGGGCGGAACAAGAGCAAGTTTATGGATGTATGGACGACTGCACCTTCGACTGGTGTGTGAATTTTTCATAGCAGCTCATTCCAACATTGTTTTGAAAACCTTTACACTCCTGCAAGTTTCAGATTACACAGTTATTCTGGAAGAAATATCATGATATTACTGCCAGATGTTTCCCAGTCTGCACAAGAGGTGCTACAGATGCTGCTTGCACTTTATGTGTCACAAGCAGCCAAATACTTGAAGACTAGTTGAAAAGGAGAACTTCAAATAATTATTTTGACAGTTGCGACTCTCTTGTTTTTAACATGGTACCCGATAGTGAAAAACCAAGATGGTTTATAGTCAAAGTGCCTTTTCCAATTTTTTATTTTATTTTATTTTTTTATATCTGACGCACACCTTCATGTACAAAAAATAAATAAACAAATAAACTTGTTCCGTTTCAGCATCTGTTTCTGTCATTGTAGTCTGTTTGGAAAACATAAAGTGAAAACTTTTGTAGAGGACAAGCTACACCTTTACAGCTAGAATACATCATTTTGGTGGGCGGGGCACCCTCCTTGGTGAATGGTAGGGGAAACACTGAAGGAACACTGATGGTAAAATACAGGTTTATAAAACGGACACAGTGAATGTTAAAGATGGCAGCAACCCACTTTGGTTTTGGCTGCATTTGGGCTAGCTGTTGGCTTGTCAGTTTGTCCACATTTAAACCATCCATCCATTATCTTTTACCCACTTCTTCCATTTTGGGTCACGGGGGTCGCTGGTGCCCATGTCCAGCAATCACTGTGCGAGGGGCGGGGTACACCCTGGACGGGTCACAAGTCCATCACAGGGCCACATAGAGACAAACGAGACAAACAACAATTCACTTTCTCACTCACACCTAGACAATTTAGAGTTACCAATCAGCCTAACATGCATGTTTTTGGTCTGTGGGAGGAAACCGGAGCACCCGGAGAAAACCCACGCATGCACGGAGAGAACATGCAAACTCCACCCAGAAGGCCCCTGGACCGGGGTTTGAACCAGGGACCTGCTCGCTGAGAGGCAGCAGCTCTACCAGTTGCGCCACCGTGCTGCCCCACATTCAAACTATATTTCTCCAAATTGAGGTTGTTCAAAAAGCTATCTACAACAGGTAAGATAATAATTGTTTCATCGCTTTAATGGACAGTGTTACTTTTGATCCTTCTGGGCTACTGTAGAATCATGGCAGAACACAATGAAACAAAGAGACACGTGAACAACTAGGCCTGTCACGATAACAAATTTTGCTCTGCGATTAATTGTCTCGGAAATTATTGCGATGAACGATAATAGTGTTTGAAATTTGACAATAATTAGTAATTATTGTCAAATTTAAGAAGAAATGTTGGTTAATTTTTTGTGTACTCTCTTTTTGACCACTGGGTGGCAGTATTAGACTGTTTGAACTGAAGGATGGATATTGAGGGAGTGAGCAGCGTGACTCTTTAAAAAAAATGGGAGGGAGGCCCCTTGACGTGACATGAGCTGTCTGTCCTTCCTTTCTTTGGTTCTCAAAATGGCGGGCGCTCAGTGTAGTTTGAGCTCTTTAGCATAGCATTTGTCACACAAAGCTTTTAATTAAAAAATCAGTAAACAAGTTCTCAGCTTCTTTTTGCAGAGAAAAACAACTTTTTCCACGAAGGCACGGGTTTCAACCGTGAATTTTGGAGCTTCAACAAGACAGAGGTTTCCCCCCCTGAGATCAGCCGGTTAGCTCAGCTCGTAGCAAAGCTTTTCAGCTTAGCTGCTTTTAAAGATCCAAAAACAAGATTTTTGATCATTAAAATTGATTTTAAAAAGAAAAGAAACAAGGAGGGGTCAGTTTTATCATCCAGTGTCTTCAGTAGAAAGAGAGAGACACGAAGAAACGATAAAGCCGATAAATGAAAACGAGGTCAATAATTTTCATTCATCATGTGATTAATTGATTTATTGTTTATTGCGACAGGCTTATGAACAAGAAATTTAGACAATCTTAAAGTGCAGTCCAACTTGGATTTAAGGAAAACAGACCGCCACTGTTCATGTCTTCCACGGCAGTAAATTTATGGATCCTTCTTTACTGGTTAAGAGGCAGCTGACCACAGCACTGCCTGACTGGAAGATTTTCTAGCACAGAAATCTCAAGGTGCAGCCTTGCTATCAGCAAATACATCTTCATCTTCGTCTCTGATTGCTAATCCTTCACCTGAATTAAGTGCTGCTCTGATTAATCACGGCGAGCACTCATAATCAAATTAAAAAGTGTGCCGCTTAACTTGCCACAAATTTTACACAACATCACACTTGTGTTCCAGCACAAGCGTTAGAAACAAGGTTCATGAGTCCTCCCTGCATCCTTCAGAAAAAGGTTACTCCTGCAGGTAGAGCCCTTTCTCTGCCCAGGATTAAATTACAGTTTCAAGATTAGCAGTAACCTAAGCGATGATTACTTTTCATCTAGTGATGTTTAGTTGGAATGATCACTTGGCTTAGAATGTCATCTTGTATATTAAACACGATAACACAATTCACCTTAAAACAGCAACACGGAATTCTAAACTCGAATATAAAGTTTAACAAAATCAGCACTAAAATAGTGCAACAGTATAAACCAGCATTTTTACAGTATACACAAGTACCACAAGCTTTTCACACACATTCACATCCTGTGAATTTTCCTCCACAACCTTAAACTGTCACCAGAATCAAATCCAGCTCTGTCCAAGGACAAACTAAGTCTTAGCAAACCAGTTAATATCCAGTATTCATTTCAATTCAGTTTATTCACACAGCGCCAAGTCGCAACAGAAGTCATCTCAGGACACTGAACAGAAACATTCACATATAAAAATAATAAGTTAACACTATTTATCTGAGCAGACTGCTTTGAGTTCAACTCCATCACAGAACTCTCATCTTGAACAAGCATGAAGGCGACAGTGGAAAGGAAAAGAACATTTTATGAAGAAACCATTAGCAGGACCAGGCTGGCGGACATCTGCTTCGACCGGGTTTGAGAAGAACAGGAAGGAGGAATAGATACACAATGGCAGTTCGAGAATCACGTTAAGATAGAAATAGTATCAAATGAAAACTATTCAATTTTAACAATTAATTTAAGGAAATTAGGTAAATTCGTCGTCCTATAGTCTAAGTCTATAGCAGCATAACAAGCCAACTCTAACTATAGGATTTATCAAAAAGAAAGTCTTAATCCCAGTCTTAAAACTGGACAATGTGTCAGCCTCGCGGACTGAAACTGGAAGTTGGTTCCACAAGAGAGGAGCCTGATAACTGAAAGATCTTCCTCCCATTCTGCTTTTGGAAACTCTAGGAACCACAAGTAAACCTGCAGTCTGAGAGAGAAGTGCTCTGTTGGGAAAACATGGAACAATAAGATCTGTAATATAAGATGGAGCTAGGTTGTTGAGAGCTTTGTAGGTTAGAAGTAAGATTTTGAATTCAATTCTGAATCTGACAGGGAGCCATACCTGCCTTGGTCCACTTTGTACGCCTCTCAGCAGCCTCCGTCATATTCTATATTAATCGTTATTACGGAGTAGACTTTAAAAAATGAAGATAGGACCATTTGGACCACTTTCTCAATAATTGTTTTTGTCAACAGTGTAGATTTTAGTCCTGTCAATTCTGGACAGTAGCTCTGGATGTTTTCTGTCAGAGAGCTCCCGTGCAGTTGACAAAATTCAGTTCTAGTGCTCTAAATTTTAATGTAATCTAAACCGAGAAGTGTTTGAGATGCCTGTAACTATTTTGAATTTTCAATTCTGGACTTGACAGGAAGCCAATGGAGAGAAGCTAAAACCGGTGAGATATGATCTCTCCTATTCTGGCAGCAGCAGTATCACAGCACCTTCACCAAACACCACATTGTTATATGAAAAGCAACATCTGCTGCCACAGCAACACCAAACACATCTAAACATGTGGCCTGATCTGCAGCTGCCATTATTCTCCTCCTCTTTCTGTTGCTCAAGTCCAACAACTCTGGCCTGACAACGAGTGGAAAAAGGCACTTCCTGCTCACCTTGATGAGGATTCTCATGTCCTCCAGATCTTTTCCATTCCACTTGTCAAAGGGCTCCAACAGCTGCAGACGGTTACTGGAGGGGTTTACATCCACCTGTAGGACATTACAACAGGGTCGGACACAAGTCTTCTTTTACACACGATTTTTTAAAGCTGTCAAAACACACAACTTCTATATCAAACAGAATTCAGTTAGAAATGTTCAAACATGTTCAGTTTCAACGTTGTTCAGGATTCTGGATCATGGAGAATAGATACTGTAACGTTACCATGACTGTGCTGCTCTCTGCAGGGGGGTACTGGTAGGTGTCCTGGCCGGGGTCAAAGTCTTTGGAGGGGAGCTCATCACCAGTGGGGGGTTCAAGCTTAAACTTCTCCCCGCTGGGGGAAGTCAAGTAGTCAGTCTCTGGGTTGAAGTCAAGGGTCCCAGCGAGAGCCAGCGCAGTGACAATCTACAGAAAATAAAAGTGTGCAGCTGTCAGTGTGGAAAAAATATAGAAATGAGTGCTTTATAATTTAAAAAAGTTAACGAGAAAGAAAGTTTGTGTTGTAAACATTCAGCGTGCAGTTCATCTAACCTCAGGAGACGTGACAAAAGCATGAGTAGCTGGATTAGCATCGTTCCTGGCTGTGAAGTTCCTGTTGAAAGATGTGACGATGGTGTTCTTCTCTCCTTTTTTCACATCCCTCCTGAAAAAATAAACAAAAACAGCCAAAGTATAGTAAAATCTTGTTTTATCATCTTCTAGCTGACAAACACAATATATTTAAGACCATGTTTAAATACCTGTAAAGTGCTTTTTTTTGTGCTTGTTTTTAAATGCGAAGCAATTTCTTTTAATTATTATTAAAATGCTCATCTCATTTTATGGCAATTACTCTGTGATTAAAAAAAATAATTGTTTAAAGCGTCATTTTAGGATTGTTGCTGATGCTGCACTCTGAAAAACAAAGGCCATGTGGAAACAATAATAATCTATGTGCTGCAAAGACATATTTATTAAGAAAATTAACAGGTATTCATCCTTTACAACAGGATTATACAAAATACTTGTGAAAATAAAGTATATTCTAAAATTCCCCCGTCATTACACAGCAATTGGTTGTTGTTGGAGATTTATTTGTAAATTCTAGGGTAGCAAAACATTATTATTATTATTATTATTATTAATTATCATCAATACTGGCACATTATAAATCCATATCACAAGGAACTGCAATAAATCACAGACACAAACTGGATGCCAGTGACAAATTTTGCATTTTCACCACCCTGAGCACTCAGTTGATTTAGATCGGAGTGACTGAAAGGCTAACGTACCCCCCCCCCACAACAATAATTTTGGCATTGCATATTTTCCTAATATTGTGCAGCCTTAATAAATTCCTAACTGTTCGCCATGACAACTGATATCTTTTGCTCTGAATCCAAAAGTTATTAGTTGATACAAGTCAATTTTCACAGCTAAGATGCTGAAAAGATGCTTAGTAGAAGTGCTTAAAAAAACACATGTGTACCTGTCCCACTGTCCAATGCAAGGACCGCACGCGTTAGCAAGGACAATTCCTCCAACATCACTCAGGATCTTGGCCTGAAAGAGAGGCCAGAGAAATCTGAGAAGACATCTTACAAAGCAGCGCAACAGTGTGAATCCTCAAGCCCGTTAGGTTTGTTTAATTCAGTTTTCCCATCTGTTTTGATGTGTTTCTGACTCACATATCCATCTCTCTCGATTGTGGCTCGAATTTGTTCAGACCCTGGTGTAACTGTGAACTGGGCCTGGCACTTCAGTCCTTTATCCAGAGCCTGCTTGGCCAGAGAGGCTGCTCTGCCCATGTCTTCATAGCTCGAGTTGGTGCAGCTGCCGATCAGACCTGTTTGTATGTTTGCAAAACGTCAAACTGAAGTAAAATCTAAAGAACTAAAAGTAGTACTTCATGTATTTTTAATTTGGCTGTAAATTTATCATATAACAAGAGTTTTTGAGGGTTGAAAATAAGACTCACAAGTCTTGATTACCATGCCTCCAATATGCTTATTCTGCAAATGACTGGAATTATGTTGCCTTCAAGGTGACTTTGTAAAACTAGCATCACGATTGAGCAGTAATGCAATCTGATCACATCTGCTCAATAAAACAGCAAGTACGAACAAAGCCTGAGCGATCTAATATCACTGGACAAAGCATTAAAAGTAACTGTAAGTTGATCCAGCCATGTCACAAATACTGACCAACTTTAACCTCCAGGGGCCAGCCTTTCTTCTTAGCTATGGCCCCTATCTCAGAGACTGGGTGGGCCAAGTCAGGGGTGAATGGTCCATTGATGTGGGGCTTCAACTGTAGGAGGAGAAGGGAAAAAAATAAAAATAAAACAATGCACCATTACAACCTTAAAAACAAAAAGTGTTTTAGCTGGGTTTATGATTCTCTAAGGTCCCCTTCATACTGAATGCTGACCCCGCTGAACTCTACATGACCTACATGATCTTTCAGAATGTTGCTGGATAGATGCACATTTGAAAGACCTTCATTGAAAAAGAACTCATGACACTGCTACAATTTTAGTGCTCACCAAAACGTTTTCCTTGTCGAGTCTCTGAGGTGCTCTCTTGCACCCTCACTCTACGTCAACATTCACTATTTCATCACTGCCCAGCTCTGACAGGACTTTTTTAAATTGTGTTTAGGATGTAGCTATGCACCCTGGCACAACTTTAGTCACTGGTATAACATTTGGTGTTTCCAAGACTTTATCAGAATCTTCCATTCTGGTTGTTTTTTGGGAAAACAGCAGCAGTTCAGCCTTGCTGTGGAGGAAACACCACTCAGCAAGCATGAAAGAAAGAAAGTGGACAGGCTTCTGTCTAAAGCCTTGCCCACATTCAACTTTTCTCTTTCCTCGTAAATCAAGCCTAAGTATGATGAGATCAAGTGCTTCTTGTTTGAATCCAAAAGGTGAATGAAGGACAGCAGAGCAGGGTGCAGTATTTATTTATACAAGTATCAAGGTTACTAATTAGGCAGAAAGATTCAGATTGCAACACCGTCAGAACCATGTGGAAATGTATTATGATTGTTTAAATAAGGCTCCCAGCTGCCAGTCACTGAGATTTTTATTTATTTATTATATATAAAGTAAAATACATACATCAATGACCAAAACATGTTAAGCATGTCATAGATATTCTTCCACCATGATCCCTATCATGCCACATTGGACCCTGATACTCGCAATGGAAGGGTTGTGCATCCTTAAAATGCTCCATGAACTATAATGCTCTATCACATATGTGTCAAACTCAAGGCCCAGGGGCCAAATATGGCCCTCTGACATCTTATCTGGCCCCCAAGAGGATATGTGAAACGTAAAATACTTTTATCTCTTAAATGTTTCAGTAATATTTGATTATGATGTTGACAGCACAACAAAGAACATCAGAGACCAATCAAACTCTTGTTGAGGAACCTGTGACCAAGAAAAGATGTTGGGTGTCTGATTTGAGTTAATGTAGTTTCTGAAATTGTCCCTTAGTTTGAAAAAGGTTTTAATTTTGGCTCCATTTTGTAAGTGAATGTGACACCCCTGCTCTATCAGGTAAAAAGTGGAGCACGGTGCATTCTGAACATGTGCGTGGAAACCTCACCAAGGTCCTGCAAAGACCATCTGACTTGTTTTGTGTGTGATCCAGTGTAAAGGGTGCCTTCAAGTCTGAACTATATGTTAAAAGATTATTTTCAGTACATTTGACTGTAGAAATCATCAAGTTTCACATGGCTTTTTGATAAAAAAAAAAAAAACCTTAAAAATCAATAGTTTGATGATTTCTAATATCTGAACATGTTAGTTTGCTTAATTTTTGAGTCACCTCGCTCAGGTTGATGTCAATGACTTGGTCGTATTCACAACCTTCATCTGGCACCAAGTCCTCTTTAAACTCATCGGCCACTGATGCAATTTCTGTACAAACGAGACAGATGGAGGTAAATCAGCAAATAAAGACTCAGTGAACAGAGACGAGCAGTAAGACACTGACCTTCACGACCGGTTTTCTCCAAGTACGTCTTCATGCGGTGATTGTATGGAAAAACAGACGTAGTGGCTCCAATTTCAGCACCCATGTTACAGATAGTGGCCATTCCTGAAATGCAGAATAATAAAGATTACAGTAAATTATTGATTTATGATACCTGAAGAGAGATCAGCAGGATTTTAAAACTTACGCGGTAGCTCATTCTTACCAGTGCAAGAGATGGAGTCAACTCCTGGTCCATGATACTCCACTATGGCCCCCGTGCCTCCTTTCACCGTCAGGATGCCAGCGACCTTCAGGATGACATCTTTTGGGGAGGTCCAGCCAGACAGACTTCCTATCAACCTCACTCCAATCACCTGAAGGGTAAAAACACGTGTTGTTAAAAAAAAGACTGAGGCACATCTAACAATGCCAGGAATACTCACTTTGGGGCACTTGAGCTCCCAGGGGATTCCAGCCATGACATCGACAGCATCGGCTCCACCCACTCCGATACAGATGCCCCCCAGACCGCCGCCGTTGGGTGTGTGAGAGTCGGTACCAATCAGCATCACCCCAGGATAAGCATAATTCTCCAGGATGATCTGCACAAACAAAGGGACTTTTATTTGGTTGCTAGCTCTTTTGTTTTAAACCATTTTAAAGTGTAATACTTGAGAAAGCGAAACTGAAGGTGATGCCTAGGTTTCTGTGATTTTTCTAGATAAAATTTACTAATGACATCATAGCGTTAATGTTACCTGATGAATGATCCCTGAGCCTGGTTTCCAGAAGCCAACGCCGTATTTTGCTGCAGCAGTTGCAAGAAAGTTGTACACTTCCTCGTTTACATCCTGAGTTCATAGAAAGATTTTTGACGATACACCTTATTTATACACACAGGTAAGTATTTATTAGCATACGAATTTAGCAGACTACCCAGAGTTAAGTTCCTCTTACTCAGTCTGGCTACTACACATGTGATGAACAAGAACATCTGAGATTTGAAGCAAACTGTGGCGTCCAGCAGAGCTACATAATTCTCTGCCAAGTAAAAACCAAGTGCTATCAAAGCAATGTCCTTCAATATGTCTGGATAATCTAAACTGTTTCAAAATACATATGCAATACTGTTAGGAAGTTAAAGGGACACCTCAGTTCTTTTGAAGTGGGGTTCTGATGAAAGGTTATGAACAATTAATATCTTCTCTGTTGTAATGGCTTTTTGGATGACCTCAGTGTGGAGAAATACCTTAATTTTGACCAGATTGACAAGCTAAAGGCTAGTTCGAGAGAGGCCAAGATCAAAGTGGATTGCTTTCAAATCATAGCAGTTCTGAAAAACAGTTTTATAAACTTTTACTTTGCTGATGATTTTATGTTATACAGTTATTTTGAAAGGAATACAATAATTTGCCAAAAGCACCCACGACTGCACCAGACGTCAGAAACTAAACTTTTGAATCAGAATCAGAATAAATGTTATTATCATTGCACCAAAGTTCAGCGAAATTATGTCCGAGATTATTTCCCCAAATTTAGAAGGTTCAAACAGCCATCTTCAACAGGTAACATATTGATTGTTCATCATCATAACCTTTTCAAAGAGCCCACACCCCCCTCAAAAGAATTGAACCATTGCTTTAAATATAATTGGCATGTGTAATCAATTGATCAAATCATACATTTTAACTTGAATTTACTCAAAAATTATTTTGAAAGACTGAGTTTCATTCTGGTAAAATACACTCCGTGTGTAAAATGACTTCCTGTTTTGATCCATTGTTTGCTGTGTGGAGGTCTCCTGTATGTGCCTAAGTGTGGAAAACAGTTCATACAGTGTAAGGATTTTCTCTCACCTTAGCCCTCTGTAGGTCCTGAACCCCTCCGACCTGAGCTTCAATCAGGTGATCGCAGTGGATGGTGGAGGGAACAGCCACTCTGGGCAGGCCGCTGCTTATGAACTGCAGCATGGCCATTTGGGCCGTAGCATCCTGCATGGCCACCCGGTCTGGTCGCAGACGCAGATAAGTGCGACCACGGTCAATCTCCTGCCCTGCTGGATCATCCAGGTGGCCATAAACGATCTTCTCCGACAGAGTGAGAGGCCTGTTCAGCCTGGGTGGGGGGGGGGGGGGGGGGGGGGGAATTACACAAAACAGGAAGAACTGTAATATTTGTTGGAGCTTCAGAACAAGTTTGCTTTAATACGATTTCAAACTGACGCAACACTACGAAGCTGTAAGGATGTTTTGTTTCATTTGAACAAAGTGCTAACCTTCTGCGAACGATGTTGATGTTCTCGTGCATCTTCTTATAGTTAACATGAGAGCCTGGCTCAAAGTGGCTCATGGCCACTTTGGCCTTAGCGCTGAAGGCTGCAGAGACATGAAACCGTCTTGCTCCTTTTCCAAGAATCAACTAGGCCAGAAAGAGCAGAAAATCATTCAGAAAAATAAAACCATAATAAACATTTTACTGTTCCATTTAGCACCAATACAACGTGTTAAAAAGCAAAAGTCAAGGAGGCACTTATTTACAATCCTAGTACAAATGTAAATAGTTAATAAAGCAAACGTCAGAAACCAAGTATTTGACCGATATTTAAACGTGTATTTGAAAAAAAAAAAATTGCCCGTTGAATTATCTAATGTTTTCTGCAACAACTGCTGTAGAATTTAATTTAAATCTGCCATGGCAACTGATCAGCAACATCTTCGATAAACTTTTATGAACTCAGTGGAAAGTTTCTGCACTCAGAGGAAACTGGGTGAAAGTTCTTCTGGCTCATGTTGCTGGGGGTGAAACTCACCAGTTGGACTACAGGCAGTTTGACAACAATGAGTGGATTAACATTCTCCAATACCATTAGCCACATAGAGGTTGAGAATAAAGGAAATGTTTTGCCTCAAACTACTGAGGCAAAACTATTTTCCCCAATTATTACCTACAACCAAGATTACAAGAGGCAAGCATAATTATAATTTAATATCAAATCTCATCTTTTATCTAATTATCATCTTTAAAAAATGTTTAGGAATTTGACTTCAAGCACTTCATTCACTGACATTTAAAGAAAAAACTGCAATAAGTAATAATAATAATAATAATAATAATAATAACCTTTTTCAACCAGGTAAATCCCACTGAGATCACACATGTCTTTTGCAAGGGAGGCCTGCAAAACCTGAAAACCGGAGTAACTGGCAACATGCAACATGCAAACTCAACACAGAAAAGACCCCAGGTAGAAAATGGTGGTTGAACACAGGACTTTCTTGTTGTGAGACAACAGTGCTGCTAACCACTAAACCATCGTGCTGCACTTTAACCTGTACAAAAAGTTGATGTGAAGTCATATGAAGACAAACATGGAGTACTTTTGTTTGTTTAATATAATGACAAAGGTCTTGAAAAATTTCTTATATGGTTGAAAGTTGGTATAACCAACAACACAAAGTGTTCATTAAAAAATCTACATATATGTGCAGTTCATAAAAGTAAACATCAGGAAAACCAAGTGAACTTGTTACTTATAATAGACTACATAATATAAACTAGGGCAGTAAAATATGTAAAAAAAATAAAATGAAATAGATATCGCAATATCAATATTGGATGGATACTTTATTGATCCTTTGCAGGAAATGACAGCAAATGTAAATGCTGTAATGCTATATGCAAATGACATTTCAGGATTCCAATAAATCATAATCACAGATTAAGCCAAAAATTTACAAAAAAAAATTTGGCAATCACATGAACCTCTATAGCAGCACGGTGGTGCAACTGGTAGAGCTGCTGCCTCTCAGCGAGCAGGTCCTTGGTTCAAACCCCGGTCCAGGGGCCCCTCTGGGTGGAGTTTGCATGTTCTCTCCGTGCATGCGTGGGTTTTCCCCGGGTGCTCCGGTTTCCTCCCACAGACCAAAAACATGCATGTTAGGCTGATTGGTAACTCTAAATTGTCCCTAGGTGAGTGAGAGGGTGAATGGTTGTTTGTCTCGTTTGTCTCTATGTGGCCCTGTGATGGACTAGAGACATGTCCAGGGTGTACACCGCCCCTCGCACAGTGATTGCTGGACATGGGCACCAGCGACCCCCGTGACCCAAAATGGAAAGGGTAAAGATAATGGATGGATGGATGGATGGATGGATGGATGGATGGATGGATGGATGGATGGATGAACCTCTATCACCTAAATTTTTAACGCTGGCACATAGAGTGATGTGAGCATTATAAACATAGAACACGTGAGTTTACCATAATTGAAATAATCACTGCAGGATTAATGAATATTATCACAGTTGCATGTTAATCAGGTCTCTCTTGTAAATGAGTCCTCGAGGCTCAATGGTTTTTACCTGTCTAAATAAAGGTTGAATGAATGAATGAAAAATCTAATATTGTTCGGTCGTACATTTAAACTCGTATTTTCAGAGGTATTATTGTAAGGGGCCTACATAACTACAGTCCAAACTGGTGAAAAAAAGTTTAAATAATCTAATTTATTTTCAACCTTTATTTTACCAGGAAATAAATCCATTGAGATTATTAATCGCTTTTACAAGGATGTCCTTATTATAGTATTGTAAACAGGAGGAAGGAGCTCATTTCTGTGTAATTACCATACTAGCTGTTTGTCTTAAAATTAATTTCATACATGAATAATAAAATTTACAGTAGATTTCCTCTCTAGATGTTATTTACAAAATCACAAACACGAAAGGCCAACTCAACTTCCTGTATTTCGCCACTAACATCAATCGTTTATGTCTAAACCACATGCGTAGCGCCCAAAAAGGCGTGACACTGAGCCTGTGAAAATCGTCCTACATTTAATAGACAAACCGAAATTAGATTTATTCTTTAAAAAATACGGTAACACAACTGAACGCACATCACATTATGGGATTGTAACGCTGTTGTCGGTCGCAGCTGTCAAAACAGCAATTTAAACGTAACCTTGTGATCACCTTGTAAGCAGCAGCTGACCAAGGCTCGCTTACACACACCCTTTGACTGAGGTTGACTGGACTAATGTTTACAAATGACCGGTCTAACAATACTTTTACTTTTAGTCTTATCGGATCGAAGGCATAAAAACGAGTTGCTGTCAGGAATCAAGTCGGGACCTTTATAAAAAAGAGAGGCCTCTTTACTCTTGATTTATCCGCTGTTTGTGGATTAAAAGTGACGGTAGCTTAAATAAACACCATAAATATTTGTTGTTAGACTGTCACTAGAGTGCAGCAGGCCTGAAAGCAGCTCTATTTTAAAAAAGCACAGTTTTATTACCTGGAGTCTGGCCACAGTCATACAGTACGACGCCATTTTTAACTTCTGAACCAATGTGTCGCTTTTTTATGACGTCAGCGAAAGACGACGACTGGTAAATTAATAAATAAGTGTGGTTTATTGTTTTACCATTTTATTTATAGAGCACTTAAAACAGCGACAAGGCCAACCAAAGTGCTGTACAGACAGAAAACAGGCAACACACAAAGAAATATACAAAATGAGGTAAATCAGAATATAGACATAAAAACGATGCAGATAATAAATATGACGACTAACCAGTGTGGAGCGTACAGGTTCAAAACACAGATCATCTGGTGTTGAAAGCTACTGAATAGTAGTGGGTTTTGTTTTGTTTTGTTTGAAATGGGTATAAACATGTTGTTTTGTTGGGTCCACTGTATATTATTATGGTAAAAGTGGATTGTTTTAAAAAGTGTTTTACAAGGTCTAAAAAAATTTGTGGAGGGTAGTAATGGGAGAAATGAGTTTTAAATAAACATTTGTCGGTTTAAAACTAAAATGTGGATTTTTTTTAAAACAAAAAATCATTAAAGAGTTCAAATAAAAAGTCATTTAAATTCAAATGAGATATCTCTAAAAAACGGATTAGTGTTTTGTGAAGAAAAAAAAAACTATTCTGAACTGGTAAATAGGTTTATTTTTCCCCATAGGGACATGAATGGTCATAAACTTAAAGGACAATACAAGGGTTGAACAAGCTTCAAAAAATAAGGTTGATTGCATTTTTATTTACATTTGGTTGTGACATTTTAAAAAGGCAGAAAAACTTGACAAATAATTCTAGATGTATAAATTTATTCTAATAACTCACTCAAAATAAAATGAAGAACATTATAGACAACCCTCAGCATCCTCTTCATCAGACTGTCATACAACAACAGAGTGTCTTCAGTCAGAGGCTTCTTCAGATCTGTTGTAAGACAGACCGCTACAAGAGATCCTTCCTGCCCACAGCCATCAGCAGCTATAACAACTCTAATGAAAGTAGCTGTCAAAATAAAACACAAGAATATAAATTACTAAAATTATTTTAAAAATACATAAATTAGCCACACTACTGTGTGCTCTGTGTAGTGCCATTACTGTAGTCAGGTCAGCTAACATTAAAGTCAATGGGTGGAATCAATGAGTGTAAACACATTGATTCTTAAAAGGAAATTTTAATGAGGACAGCTTGGCGGGCCAACTTTGGCCCGCGGGCCAACTTGGGGCACCCCTGCACTAGCCTGAGGAACAGCTTCTACCCTGAAGCTGTTAGACTCATGAATATCTAACCAGGATAATCACTGTGAAAAATCACATCATGTTGCTGCTGATCTGTATGTTGCTGTATTCATGCGTGCTCATCTGCTCACACAGACTCATGTTCGTGCTGCTGTTCGACATAATGTCTTTTTGCTACTAGTGCTTAGAGTATATTTCGTTGATGTTTTTCTTAGTTCATATCTTAGATCTTATTGCTGTTTTTCTTTTACATTTTATTGTTGGATGTAACTGGGACCCTGTGCACACAATTTTGTTCCACCACATGTACCACATGGGGTGCGAATGACAAATAAAGAACCTTGAATCCTTGAATTTACTCAGTACAACATAGCATAAACAGACATCCTCCAAAGATACAAAATGTCACATACCGTATATAATTTGTCTAGTAGCATAAAAATGTTTGAATCTGCATAATTAGATCATATTATATTACGTGGATAGTTTTATGCAATTATATTTCGTTTTTGTTTGCTCTGTTATATAGGCTGCCCAGTGGCAAGTGATGCATAATAAAATAAAGATATGTTTTGTGAAAAGTTGGTTCGAAGTCCAACTTATTGTGTAGATAATATAAATCTAAAAATTATACTCAGCAAAATTATTACTTGAATTAATAACACAATAAAGTACGGTACTTTTAACTGCGCGTCATTCATTTAAAACTTTATTTCCCACAAGCCTTTGCGACAAGTAAGGGTTCTTTAAGCGCTACTATCCAATAAAGTGTGAGTTCTCCTCCATCTCAGCCAATAGGAACTCTGTTGCTATCACCACTTGTATTTATAGCAAATGGTTCAGCACCGGAGGAAACTACAAATATCTCTCCGCCGTTTAATCTAGAGCCTGTTAAAATCGTTTGGGATTTTAAATGAAAGACATTGTTTAGTGTATTTATAAAAACTGATGATGTAACGACGTCAAAAGTACAATAATTAGCCTTTTGTAAACTATTTTCTTAAACTGAAGGTTGATACATAATGACAAGTGCAAGCTAGCCAACTGTCGAAAGGAAGGGATTAGTGTGAAAGAAAGTAGTCCCTGTCGTCACGGGGGTGTGGGCGAGTCACGCTGTATAAATACGCAGGGCTGTCAAACAGCAAACTTTAAGTGGACCCAAAGTGTCAGGACGAGAGGACAAAGTGGAAAAACCTCTGGACGTCTTACAGTTTGAACCGCAGTTGGACGGGAATGAGAAACACAAGGAGATTGTGAATTATATCAACGTTTGAACCCGTAACTCCATTCAAACAAACAAACAAAAAAATCAAGATCACTGGGGAATTAATACAAAGACACACCAAGTAGCAGCAAGTCCAGCTCGGCCAGCACGTAGGTGAGTAACTAAACGTAAATTGATGTATAACGAGGGTCATTTTTACCCTTAAAGATCAGTATTTACACGACAGCACCGTGTTTGGATGTCCTGGTGTTTTTCCATGACTGTAATGAATAGCTGTGCTGGCTTGGTTATCGAATAAAGCTTTTGTTTTGGGTCATTTCCCTGTTACAGATGTACATTTACTGAACCGAGCCATTTAAAAACCTTTACTTCAAGGCTGAGACAATCTCCTTCGTTGTTCATTTACATCCTCAATAGGCAGCTGCCACTTAATTAGCTTTATCATTTATTTTCTACTTGCTTTTTGAAGAAATGTCCTCTTTGCTTCAGTACATATTTTCCAGTTACTGCCTCTCCATCTTGGTATTGTCTATGCAAACCTGGTGTGTGTGCATATATATATATTATACTTGTCTAACCTTTTATCAAAACATTTATACAGCAAAGGGAATGTTAAGATTTGAATCTCTGTCAGGAGAAAACTGAGGGGTTCAAAAGGACAAATCCCAACATAAATTTGAGGCTGGCCTCTTGTATAACTCTCACCTTGACGTGCAATACTTAGAAATATTGGCAGATGAATATTAACTGCTGCTTATGCTTTTTCGTGCCCGTGCATCTTAAACGGTCAAACCCTGACCTGCTGTGCTTGTTGTGCAGCACACTCTGTCCTCATAATGAGCCTATGTAAACAAAAATACCAGCAGGGATTCTGCTGATGCTCTGACCTGCAACAGGCCTCGCAAAAATACAACGAAAACAGCCCTTTTTCAGATCTGCAAACGAAGAGACCTAAACTAAGCAAATAAATGTCGGTGACACTGAACCATATTTTTTCTGAATCATGTCTAGTGCACATACGAGCCATTGCTTTTAATGTGACTGGATGACACTTCCAATCTCCTTTTTTTTTTTTTTATTAAAACATGTACAAATTCAGTATGTGGATGAGCTCTCTGTGCAGTCACTGTTTACACAGACGATGTTGAAAATGATCCTTTCAGTCAGTCTCTCTGGCTCATTTTAATCAAATTTAAATGAATTTGTTCCACAGACGAAGCCAAACGGAGCCCAGTTTCTTGCCCTTTTCTAATAAGCCCCTTGTCCTTTTTTCTTCAATGTCATGTGAAAGTAAAATTCAATGCTCGTCTCTTTGCTCTTGCTGCCGCTCACCTGGCCTCTGCAGCTTTGTCTCTAACAGAATTGTCTTTAATCAGAAACGTCTTTCTAATCTTAACTGCTGAATCCCCATCTGGCTGGAAGGTGATTGCGAGGAATTGTTTTCTGTGTGGAGGCTTAGGGAGTGGGGAGGAGGGTGGCTGTTTGTGTTGCATGCTGGGAAGTTGTGTTCCATCAGTTAAACATCTGCCATTTTCTTCTTTATACCCAATATGGCACAAGTCGATGTGTTTTTGTTTGCATATAATCTTTCATTCAGTTCGTGTCTCCATGGTGACGGTGACGGTCTCGAAGTTGAAGCTTTGAGATGGGAGCGCTTCATGGGATCACATTTAGATTATACAGGATTTATGAAGCTCAATCAGCATGCAGCGTCTGTTATATTCATCAGTGCATTCTGCAGCTGACAAACTCCAAAATTCAAAGCAATTTATTCACAGATTTTAGTCCTTTTTTGTTTAACTTGCTCTCATTTCTCGACATTTGTATCATCGTAAAAGTCCTTTTAAACATTTATAATGCCGTGAAGATAAAAACATATCTGATACAAGCTTGGCTTCTGGGTTTTGGATTTACTGATGTAATTAACTGTCAGCTGGAGAACAATAGACTAACAGGGTTTTTTTTCTGTCTTCACAGTTTAGACATCCAAACAGGATAAAAACAACCTGCAACCAGCAGCCTATGTTTCTGAGGGACCTTTGCAAAGATGACGCTAAAAAAATCAAACCCTTCTCAGTAAACCATAGGTACAAACTTCTTACAGCTGTGCTCCCTCTCGTCAGCATCGTCATTTGAACATTTTGTTCTCAGAGCGACTCTAACCTGGTGCAGTCATGCATCTAGAGATAAAGGTGGCCCTGAACTTCATCGTGTCCTACCTGTACAACAAGTTGCCTCGACGTCGAGCTGACCTCTTCAGTGAGGAGCTAGAGAGAATATTGGTTTCTCGTTTTGAAGGACACTGGTACCCCGAAGCCCCTCTCAGGGGTTCTGCTTTCCGCTGCATCCATTTAGGAGCACCAAGGGACCCTGTGGTGGAGCTGGCCGCCAAAAGAAGCGGACTGGACACGGAGGAGGTGCGTGCAAATGTTCCTGCAGAGCTCAGCGTGTGGATAGACCCTTATGAGGTATCTTACCAGATCGGAGAGAAGGGGCAAGTGAAGGTGCTCTACCTTGAGGACCCCCCAGGCCTTGGTTGTGACAGTGAGCGGGCTGAGGGCCAGATAAAAGAGTGCAAAAAGGAAGCAGAGGCTGAGGAGGCCAAGAACCTTGGCTTTAACCCTGACGCACAAGTGTTTGTTCCAGTTGGAAGTCAGGCGTCTCCGGCCCTCATGCCATCCCTCTCCAGCTCTCCCACACCTCTGTCTACTCCGTCTTGCCCCGGGCTCTTCAGCTACCCTAACTCCAGTACACCCACAGACCCTGCGGCCCACTCTTCCAACACCTCCACTCCTCCTCCTCCCAGCAGTGGGCTGCCCTACCTCTCTACTCAGCAGCTGCCCTCCACTCTTCCTCCCACCCGCCCGCAACCCATCACCTTCACCACCGCCAGCTTCGCCGCCACTAAATTTGGCTCCACTAAAATAAAAAAGTCCAGTGGCGCTGGGTCGGCGTCCGGCTCTGGCGTCATCGTGCCGCCTTCTCAGAGGATGCTGACCCGTTCTCCCACCACCATCTCAGCGCCAGAGCTGCTCAAGCACAAGCCCCTGTCTCTGTCTTTGCACTCACTTGGAGGTCCCATCCCCAGCCAGCTCTCGCCCAGCGCCAAAGAGTTCGTCTACCCAGGATCCCCGGGCCCCCTTTACTTTGACACAGACACCCAGTCCATGCAGCCTCATACCAGCCATTTCCAACATGCTGTCGGTGCCAATCCGACCTTTGACCCGTTCTCCAGCTCTCCTGCTCAGAGCGTGGGCATCATTGGCAGCAACGGAGGGATCTCGTACATGGAGAAGCCTCCATTTGTTGACGGTTTAGGAAGCTACAGTTTGCAATATCCCAGCCAGTCCTTCCAGCCCGTTGTGCTGGCCAACTAAGCCTTCATTTGTAATAAGAACTGTTGAAATGAAAAGTTGGACAATGCTCCATATGTTCAGTTTTTCTAACAAATTGTACTAACCCTAACGAATGTCAGGAATTTTACTACAAAGGTTCAAAAGTAGAACTTAATCCTCTGAATATTTAATGTTTTGGGTATTTGACACCCCTAGTCTCATGTGTCCGGTGTTCCTCGTCACGTTCTCTGCATCGACTTTAACAGGAGAGGGTGGGTTTCTTTCTACCATTAGTTCTTACTGATCACTGATTTCTGATGAATGTTAATGTGGGAGGCGTTCATGTTCTCGACTCGTACTCTAATGGACTTGACTACAGTACAGCTCCATTTTTTTTGTTGTTTTTTTTAACTGCACTGTCATGCTGTGAAACAGGACTTTGCCAAGTCCTGCAGGGAACGTCCGCTGTGGAAAACTCAGCACTTTGCTCTGCAATCTGCTCTGCCCTACTTGCCACAAATACAGAGGAGGAGGAGGGGGCTCTTGTCTACGTGTGCAGTCCTTCTGTTTTGTTGTGGCTCGATGGAGGAGCTGGTTGTTTGTGTGATGGGTGTGTTATCTTTTAATTGATGTACATTGAAAGCCTGTTATCGTTTGCTGGAACAGTCGAGCCACCAGGGTTTAAATGATGTGAGAGCAGGGGACGGAGCAGAAAGGGCAGCGTTGCTGAGTTGGAACGTGACGATGAAGAATGTATTGTAGCTGCTAAGAAAAACGCTCGGTGTGTGTGTGTGTGGGGGTCTTTGTGAATGTGGTCGAATCTGGATTTTTAAACTCTAACCACGTGCTGATGCCTCAATCAAAACACGCAGGGAAACGACTGGACATTAAACGCGCTTTATGCATTAACGTGCACACCCATGATGTTCCAGTCAGCAGTGTGTGAAGGTGAACAGGGGGAGGGGTGTGTGCAGCAGCTAAGCAGTAGGGATTGTGATAAATGGCTTAGCATGACTTTGACGATGAAGGAGAGGTTTTTCCTCTGCATGAAAAGGAGAGAGGGGAGATGGTTTAAAAAGGAAGACAAGAGGGGTGGGAATCGGGGAGGGAGAGAAACTTCTAGATGATGCTGTTGCCTTTGCAACGACCAGGATGTGCTGGGCTTGAAAAGCGGCACGTTAAAACCCAGAGCACGTTTCTGGTGAGGTAAAATGTTCTCAAAGCCAAAGGCTCGCACTATTCTCCCACTTCTTGAAATTCTCTGGCGGTCTCTGTTTCTCAAGCTGTTGCAAAGAAAGAAAGAAAGAAGAAAGATGGGGAGAGAGAGAGAACCAAACCATGCAGTGCAAGTTGCTGTCTCTGCCCAGCTGCAGTGACGTGAACAAAGAAAGTAAAGTTTTCTTTGTGCGTGCAGCTTTAATGGACAGCTTGTCACACGTCTGAGACTGAGGTTGTATATTTAACAGCTGGAGTTGTAGGTCACTACAGTGAACCTCCACATGTCCAGCTGTTCAGGCACTTTATTACTGATGTCACCCCAGCCATCAGCCCTAAACCCTTCTTTTACCCTCCGCCTGGTTGTTGCACATTTTTATTATGAAACACTTTAGAGATTAAAGAAGAAGCTAAAACTGCATTGCATCACAATAAGAGGTGCCGTCAGACATTTGTTCTTGGCTTCTTAGCTGTTTACTTGAATATTTTCCAGATCTGAAGCTTTTCTTTTCTTATTGACTCCTGTAGGTTTTGTTACGTGACATGTTTAAATTTATACCTTTTTTTTTTTTCCCCATATAATTAAAATGGTACAGTAGTTGGAAAATATTTTTTGATGATTTGTTTCCTAGTTCTTCTTTTGTTCTTTGCCTTTGTTAATTTTTTTGTTAAATATTTGTGAGAATAAAATGGTGGCAGGATGATGTATATAAATTTTTCATTTTTGTGATCTCTTACTGATTTTTTTTTTTTCCAGAATTTATTATGAAAATATGCAAACTGAGACAAAATAAAGATGTACAGAATAAAGTACTGAATGTGTATTGTACCTTTTACAGTATTTGTTGAGTAAGACGGGTAAATGTATAGTTTTAAAGATGGATTTCGAGAAGTGAATGTTTACGGGGGTGTAGGAAAAGATGGCCAATCTGACTCCCACATGGAATTAAACCAAAAATCCACAAAGTTTTAATCGCACAGTCCATTCTCTCCTTTTCTTGTACAAGTTGCACATAATGTGACCGCTTCGTAGCCTTGTGTTCAGTTTTTGTTTTTTGGTCCAGATGCTGCTTCAGTACTTAGATTTAAATGATCAAAGTACCTGTTCAGACATCCCTGATTTCATCCAATAAAACTAACTTTTTTTTAAACTCTTCCCCCAGTCGGCCAGGTTTTGTTGCTGATGGGCCATATTTCCACACTCTGCTTACACAGATGCTTGCCCCTCTGCAGTGCGGTCTAATGCCATATTTTCAAATTACCTCTGAAGAGCCGAGGGGTTTGGATCACTCCACACTTGAGAAAACAAAATCAGAGCTTCTGTATAATTTGAGATTTGCTCCTACAGTTTTGGAAGGAAGGAGGAAATGAACGTAATCCAGGTCGTAATCCAGGTCGAATTGTCGGATCAAATGTGGATGTCCTGCTTAGGATAAAAATGACAATTGAATTAATGTTTTTTAACCAAACTGCTCTGAGTGCAGGCTACACTAAAATCAGGGTTGAAATTACTGAAGATTGAGAGGAAAGATTTTTGTATCCTGATGTCCTTTGCTTATATCGACGTGTTCGGTTGATTTTGCACTTTGGAATATTTCTTTGTCATAAAAGGAAGTTTATTTTCTATGTAAACTTTAACATTTAAAAGTACAATAGATGTAATTGAAAGTTCAAATTATATATCTATGTATAGATATATATATATATATATAGATATAATCTTTAATCCCTGCCTGTATTTTGTTTATTTCTGTTTTATGTGATCTGTACACCCTGTAGATGTCTAATGAATCTTTCACTACTGAAATGCAATGACCTGTTTTCTGTGCTGCCCCTCTGGAATGGGGAGTTACTACTGCGGTTTCTTATTGTATCAATTCTTTTTTTTAAGTTTATAATAAAACCAGATTGGCAAAAAAATATATGCATGGAAATCGATGCATTTCTGTCGTCCTCGTCGTTTGTGTGAAGAGTTATGAAGCAAGAGAAGCCGATTAGGCTCCACCTTTTAGTGTGTGTGTTGGTGAGGTTAAAAAGAAAAATCCTGCAAGAGAAAGCACAGAGCAGTGTGTCTTATTGCTGAAAACAAATTCAGAGGAGGTTTGATCAATAATTCAAAGCGGAGTTGGAATTCTTGGATCGAGAGCAGCCAGATTGCTCACCACCCACCTCAGCTGGACTCATCCCAGCAGATATTTCCTTACATTTCATCAGCCGGCACTCTGTCCGACTTAAAAACCTGCTAAAACCTTGCTTTGCTCATGTGAGGCGAGCCTGTAAGGCTGTCAGACTTTAGAGACGTGATTCTTACACGTGTGGCTCCATGGATAAATTCTGGGCAACTAACATCTTACTTGTTGTAGATGAATGACCTGAAATAGAAGTGACGAGCTGAGAAGAAGTCAGAGGAGCCAAGACTGGAATGGATTGCTGCCATCATTAAACCACTCCAATCTCAGAAACTCAACTACAGTTTGTGCAAATGTTTATATCAACATTGTTTATTTACATAGAGTTCTGTTTTGAAGTGCAAATAGGTTTAGGTTGATTTGTCATGTGCAGACCAACACAAGATCAATAATGCAATGAAACGCACAGGACGAGAAGAACCGCCTTGACTGCCCCCCCCCCCGCCCCCAAAAAAAGAAATACCAAAGCATGCAATAAGAATACAAAAGACACCAAATGTGAAAAATAAATAAATCTACAGCAGCATAGTCCTATTAGCAGTGTGGTACTGTTAGCAGTGTGGTTCTGATAGCAGCAAGGTTCTGTTAGCAGCATGGTACTGTTAGCAGTGTGGTTCTGTTAGCAGTGTGGTGCTGTTAGCAGTGTGGTTCTGTTAGCAGTGTGGTGCTGTTAGCAGTGTGGTCTGTTAGCAGTGTGGTGCTGTTAGCAGCATGGTACTGTTAGCAGTGTGGTCTGTTAGCAGCGTGGTACTGTTAGCAGTGTGGTCTGTTAGCAGTGTGGTACTGTTAGCAGTGTGGTACTGTTAGCAGTGTGGTCTGTTAGCAGCGTGGTACCGTTAGCAGTGTGGTCTGTTAGCAGCGTGGTACTGTTAGCAGCGTGGTACCGTTAGCAGTGTGGTACCGTTAGCAGTGTGGTCTGTTAGCAGCGTGGTACTGTTAGCAGTGTGGT